AAGTCTTATATTACAAAATCACTAGCACGGCAGCGATTGATGGGAAATATAGCTTGGAGATTACTGAATGTGTTCGGAGCAAAAGGTGCAATACAATAGGATACCAGTGAAGGTGTGGCACCCACCTTATACCTCTGCGCCCATCCTAATACCAAATCTTGTGGGATTTGCCTTTGCCCTATGAGTAATTCCTTCAAATCACCTACGTAATCTAAAACTAATCCATGATCATTAGTTCCTCTAAGTAACCTAATAAATCCACACCCAACTAATCTCTCAACTATCCCACATCTCTCCCCGTATTTCTGTTTCTGTTTCCAAGTGTTCATCCTAGGTTCTTCTCACCCGGAGATTGGCATACAATGATGCCCTCTGCTAGAAGAATGCCTTTGATAACGTTCCTTATCAGAGTCACGCTTCCAGTGACTCTGTGATGATTCGCTTTTTATAGAAGTACAATAGTACTCGAACTAAGTTGCTAGACGCTACTCTTATCTGAAACTAACTATAAATCAGATCCCAGAGAGGCATCCATACGTCTGGACAGCAAGAGTCGGAGAGATAGTAAAAGGGAGCGACTAAATGATTCCTCTAATCTTATGACTCTTATCGATATATCTATCTATCTTTATCCCTTAGGTAAGTAGTACGAGACTTGATCTTCTACTCAGTTACTACTTGGGAGACCAACTTGAGTTTTTGCAAGGAAAAGAGAATTAAATCATCGCGCTGGTGCCTCTTGCCACATTTTGGTATTGCATAGTCTTTTACCCTTGGGAGATCTTCATTCCACCTCCAATTGAAGAGTCTTCAAAGATGCTCCAGTGATCTTATATACCCCTCCCATCAATGAGTATAAGAGTATGAGTTTTGGACACAAAAAACTTGCCCAGACTTTGATAATGACATGGTACAGCCGCTGCTGTATAAATTATTATCAGGACGTCCAACGAAGGGCAGGCATCAGCAGCAGCCAGACGACTGCGTCCCATTATCAGGAAAAAACCACGAGGGAAAGGGACGGCAGACAGTGGCCGAGAGAGAGATAACTGAATGTGATAGCATGCCCGGCATTTCGAAAATTGTTTTGTGTTTTATTTAATATTGTTTTTGGTCAGACAAGATTGACTTGCAGTTGTCTTGTCAGTTGCCAGACGAGTGCCGGTGCGGACCGATCGCGACTTTCGATTTCGTTCATCTTCATCATCTTCGGCATCACCACTACCACGGCATTCGAAGCAGGCAGGCAGGTCCCAAACAGCCAGCCCTGCCAACTCATTGTAATTATCTGTGCGACGAGACTCTTGGAATCTTTCTGTGATCCCTCCCGGGGCAGACGGCTTCAGTCTATCAAAGCCTGCCAGCGTTTCAACATCATCTTCAATATCATCATCTTCGACATGTGGCTGCTGTTGCCCATTCTGCTCTACTCGGTGCTCTTTCTGGCTGTGCGACACATCTATAGCCACTGGCGACGCAAGGGCTTTCCCTCGGAAAGGGCCGGCATCTCCTGGTCTTTCCTGCATCAGGCCTATCGCCGGGAATTCCGACATGTGGAGGCCATCTGTGAGGCCTACCAGATGGGTCGTGAGCGTCTGTTGGGTATCTACTGCTTCTTCAGGCCAGTCCTAATCGTGCGCAATGTGGAATTGGCCCAAACGATACTCCAGCAGTCGAACGGACACTTCAACGATCTGAAATGGGACTATGTCAAGGGCTACAGGAGATTCAATCTGTTGGAGAAGCTGTCCCCCATATTTGCTACCAAACGATTGTCGGAAATGTTTACCCATGTCCAGCGTGTGGGAGATCATTTGATATCATATCTGTTGGACATCGAACAGGCCCAGGGTGGTGCTCTAGAACTGGATTTGCAGCAGATGTTAAGAGTGTAAGCGAAAATTGAAGAATCAAACAAAGAGTTTCTAACAGGATTCTCTGTCAGTTATGCCATCAACGTCATTGGAAATCTCATTTATGGTCTGGATGTCAACAACTTTGAGCAGAAGGATCACATTCTCAGCAGCTATGTGAGTGCTGGACATACCAGCCTTCAATCATTGTAAGTAAAGATCGATCTATACCTATCTTTAACTAACCCGGATCTGTAAACTCCTCAAGTACCCTGAGTCGCTTGCCCCAGAAATCCTCCTTCACGTACCGCCTCAGGGATCTCATCAAACAGGGCGTTGAGCATCGCGAGGAACATGGTCTTATACGGAAGGATATACTTCAGTTAATCACTCGATTCCGCAACGGCAACGACATCAGTGGGGACAAGTGGCAGATAGACATAGATAATGGTGCGTGCGAGGTTCATTTGACAAATATTCATTATCTATAATACTACTGTCCCCCAATCAACAGAACAGGACAAGCTTTTGTCCATCAAACGCGTGGCTAAGGTGGCTGAGGATCTGCTCAAGGTATCCCTGGACTCGATATCCTCCAATATAACCCTTACACTCTTTGAGATCCTGCAAGAACCCCTTATTGTGGAGAAACTTCAAACTGAAATCAAGGAACTAAGCAATGAGAATGGTTCACTAAAGTTTGAAGAGCTTGACGGCCTGAAGTACCTGGATATGTGTCTTAAAGGTAGGTGCAAAGGGGACCCAGATTGGAGTAGGAATACAGTCTTTGCCATCCACAGAAACCGTCCGCAAATACCCACCGTTGCCCATCATTGAACGCATTTGCCGTAAAAGTTACACGCTGCCCAACACTAAGTTCACAATTGATGAGGGGAAAACCTTGATGGTTCCCCTGCTGGCCATCCACAGGGACGAGAAGTACTTCAGTGAACCCATGAAGTACAAACCTTTGAGGTTTCTACATTCGGAAAAGTCAGGCGACTGCAAGAGCAATGCCTTCATAGGTTTCGGCATTGGCGGAGCTCAGTGTGTGGGTAGGTTGTTAGCACCAAAACTTTGCACCCAAAAGATCCAGCTGAGAATATGTTTTCCCGTTTTTATTCCCAGGCCAAAACTTTGCCAAAATGGTCATCAAAGTTGCTCTGATCAAACTCCTGCAAAACTTTCATCTGGAATTGGATGCAACCCTCGCAGAGACCATCGAAATTTCGCATCAACCGGCTCCGTTTATACGAACAAAAGATGGTCTGAAAGTCAGGTTGAAAAGACGCGAGATAAAGCCGAAATTTTATAACTAAGCTAAAAGTAGAAATTAGAAGGAAAGGAAACTCTTTCAGCTGTTAAGTTCTTTAATTTGTGTGTGGCCCGCGTCACACCTTTTTCAACACTTTGTTGTCTGTGCAAGGCACCTAAAATTATGCTATAAATAAAATACAGTATATTACGGTCACAGCTCGGGGTGCTGTCGGTTCTTGTTTGCCATTCGCTTCGTTAATTTTGCAAAATGGCAAAGGTCCTGGGGCGCACAAGGAGCAGGCGACCGTACGAGGCCACGCCAAAGTGAACGCATTAAATTCGTCACTCCAATGTGTCTGTTGTTGTTGTTGTTGTTTACGCCAACTCTCGGTGACAGACACGGCATTGGATTGGATTGGATATGGAGGACATATGGAGATAGCCCGAACCTCATCTCGGGCGGAAAAGACATGTGCTCCAATTTGAGCTCATCATTAAATTTGATTTGCTCTGTTGCCAATCCAACATGACAGCCGCCTGGATACCATTTCAGAGTGCGCAGCACTTCCATTTCCATAGCCAAAAGTCATGGACTGTCTCGTCTGGGGACTGCCAATCCATTTCAAGTGTGTGTACGAGTACTTGCTCGCCATGGGCCAGGCAATCAGGCCTAAGAGACGCCTCTAATGATGCCGCAATTAGGCCGCATTATGGACACATTTATCATCCACAGACAGTTGGAGAGGGAAGCCAGAGGGAAGACAACCAACCCGAAATGGACAATGTCACAAACAAATGGCTCTAATGAGTGTGCAAAGTATTTTACAGTAATGAAAACTTTTCTTAGGTGGTCCCATCACCCCCCACCGAAAAACCCATCATATTAATTGGAGCCTGAGCCCGGGCTAAGACCCAAGATAAATGACCTGGAAACTTGTCCAAAATCCAGCACAAACTTTATGACTTTTGGTCGGACACCAAGGCAATAAAATTGAAATTCAATCAAACCGACTGGTGGCTCGCAGGATGTAAAGTCGGGAAGGGAAACACACAACAATTTAAAGAGCCAAGAACAACGTGAGCGTCGCTTCAAAATAGACAACATCCAGAGCAAGTGGAGCTCTTCACATGCTGTGACCCAGTTTGGGTGCTGGTGCTGGTGCTGTTGCTGTTGCCAGCGCCGGTGCCGGTGGCTGGTGGTGTTGCCAGGGCAAGTGTCGGATATAAATTGCATGAGAGCAACCCGAGTCGAGGGAAATACTCGTGCTCTGCTTCGGAACCCGGACCCGGACAGAACTCCCTTTAGCGCCATCTTCGCTGCCATTGTCCTGGTTACATTTAAACATTACTCATTCCACATTAAGCGGTCAAAATGGCAAGCCCGGAACCTCCTCTTTACAAGTCGAAAAGTTAAAAATAATACAAGATATAGGATGGCATTTGGACTGTAGGATACCTTATACTTGGGCGCATTTGGAAAAGAATAGAGATGGATATATACCGCATAAGATCTTGGTGAGTTTTCGTAGATCGATGAAGAGGTGGACTCTAAAAATTGTTGACCCCACAATGGATCAATAGAAATTATAGCAAATTTACCTAAATATACCAAAATAACAATATAAATCGATTTATATGTTCTTTAAGCAGTAAGCTAAAGCTTTTTTCTTCTCTGTTACAGGAATTTCCCCGAACCCAAAATATCCTCAGACCCCAACCTTTACCCTGGATACAAAAGTAAGTACAAAGTTGCTTTCATCGCTTTGTTTTGCTGGGTATAAAATTTTCATTTCCCTCCGCATAAATTATGATATATTTCACCTCAGGGACAGACGGGGGAAACGGTTCTCCAAATGTAAATTTGTACTCAAATTAGGGTTATTAACTTACCATAATTTCAAGATTTGTTTTTGCGGTTACGCTACAATGAGAAAAAATGAGAAAAAGTACATTACAAATGTGATTAATCAAGTTACATTTAAGGCTGTGCTGTGCTTTTCTGTGTGTTATTGAACTTTAGCTTGAAATAAAATAAGATTGCACTCGAAGCGACAACAAACTTGAACTGCAGTAAAAGTGAAAGATAAATCTGTTCAAAACAAATAAAAAGCTCAACTTGAAACTGACATATAAGGTTATCGCTGCAGTCGGCTTTTAATTAGCCAATTGACATCTGACTTTTTGCCCAAGTTTACTTTGGTTTTGGCTTAGAAAAAGCTGTGCAACTTATTGTATTTGGCAGCTCAAAACAAATCACCTTAAATACTCTTAAATGGCTCGAAAGGCTTAAATATTTATTGGCCAACAACAAGATAGAAATTTGAGCTGTTTTATCTCCGACAAAAGCAAAACTATGCCAAATATTTGCATGAGAAAAAGCTGTATTGTTTGAGAAATTGTTTGGTGAAATTTTAGCATAACATAAAATGGCAATAAATTATACAAATATTATTTGGGCTTTCGTTAGATATTTTCGACTTTTTTTCGAATGATATAATATGTTTTTGGTTGTATTTATTATATAACGGAATGTTCACCAAATATTTTACATTTGTTTCAGTTTTTAACAAAGGCATCATTTTTAGTTATTCATGATAAAACAACAACACCTAAACTACCATTCAAATACATATCTGGAACCATTTCATATACCTTTGCATACAACAAAAACTTGTTAAAAATTCTCCCCTAATAATTTCAGACATTTTAGTATAATTTCTGCTGACTCCAACAATTATCCCCACTAATTGGATGAGAACTTTCCTCATCCAAAAAAAGTACCCACTTGCAGCAGCGTGTCCAAATAAACACTTTAACTGGCGGTCATCTTATCTTACGAGTATATGCACATCACTACAATCCACTTAAAAAGAACTCTTCCCAACTGTACTCGAAGAAAAAGATAAAAACTCAACTGGAGAATAAGTAAACCACGACCTCCGAGGGTCAGAAGTAATAAAACTAAGTAAATGGATGGTCTGGCCTTTAATACTGCCCCACTGCTGGGCTCTTCTCTTCTCTTTTTCTGAATATTTGTTTAACAATTAAACTTTGCTAGAGAGTAGAGTGTGTGTGTGTGTGTGCGTGTGCGTGTGTGTATAAAGATTATTATCATTAAGAGTTGGGTGAGTGAGTAACTGCCAAGTAAAGGGAAATGACAAATTGTGAGAGCAAATTGCAGTTGAAAATTGTCATAAACAGTGGAGCTTCTATAAGAAACAACAGAATTTCAGTTGTTTAAGGAATCTAGATGAGCATTATCAGAAGATTGTCTATCAAATTCGAATTTCAAACTTAAGAAACTTCAGATTTGAGCAGGGAGAGAATCGTGTCTAATTTGGTTTGTCGTCTTTGGTTCTAGTCTCTGAAGAAGGCCTATTCTAGTCACGCCATAGGAAATGATCAAATTTTGATCACCGAAGTTCCATTTCTAGACGCTTCACTGTAGCATCTTCATGGGTTTGGTTTAATGGGGGGTGCCCGGGTGCAGTTGGTTTACTTTTTCAATTTGTGTGCGTTGCATCCACATAATTGCCACATGGAGTTGCATGTGCCTGCACTGTGCATCCGACTGCCGTTGCCGTTGCCACTGCCACTGCCGCCCTTCAAAAACTGCATATGAGAGGAGCCGTGACTCGACAGCAGCTTCTTCTCTGATGCCGCAGAGGATGTGGGAGAGCACTGAGGATGGGGCGGCTGCTGCTGCAGCTTCTGTTGCACGATGTGCGTGCAGCTGTTTGTTGGGTTGTTGTTGGTTGTTCGTGTTGTTTATAAGGCTGTTGTTCTTACTGTTGTTGCTGTTGTCGGGGTGTCTACTCGCTGTTGCCTTAATTATTGTCAGCCAAACTGTCGCGGCCGCTTGCCGCATGTGTAATTTGTTTGTGTCGGCAGTGGCTCCGCTCTCTCCTTTTTCCTGTCTTTTCTTCGCCTTTACCATTGCCTTTGCCTTTGCTTACTTTATTTATATTTTTTATCTGTTTCCGACTCTTAATTAATTTATGTGTCTGTCATTTTACCGAGGTGCTTAAATAGTGCGTTGCATTCAGAGTTAACAGAAGTCCACGGACCAAGGAGAAGCAGCAGCAGCTCCAGCTGTGGGCGGCACTTGAATCATTCCATTATCTTCCGTTATGGAAGAGGCCCCAAGGTTTTTACACAGAGAGGAAGAGAACCGAACCAGTTGACCCAGTTCTCAATGGGCAACTGGTTCGGAACTGTTCAGTTTTAATGGTTTTTAGAAGTCAGGAGAACTCATTCTAATGGGTAGTTGTTTAAGTAATTGATGCTTAGTGATTGCAGATTTTTAGTAAGACTTATAGAGATGTACTTTAGAGATGCATAGTATTTGAAAGTTCATCAGTTCATTAAGACCAAATACTCTTTTTTGGTGCACGATCTTTTCAGGGTGGATTTTGGAATGCCCTCAAATCAAAGTATGACTCGACATATCTCCACTTCTAATTGGAATATCAACTGTCATATAATTTCCTCTATCTAATAACCTACCCCTTAAGTAAACTAAATAAACAGGTTCCGTTTTCTGACTTCCCCTTTGGGCGGTTCCACAATGTAACCTTCTTAATGGCCAAAATCATTTAGCCTTCATTTTCAATTACCCAACGTAACGAAGCGACGAAACCATTTATCAAAATCCCAAACTAGATAACTTAATTAAAGCCCGAAAATCAATCTGCATATATATGTACGAGTATGAGGGCTGACAAAATCTGAATCTGGAACCCCCTGAAACACTCTCCCAGCCCGCAGACCCAAACACCATCCTGAGAGCAGCGAACAATGGGCCAAACAACAACATCCGCTTATCTCGATAAATCAAAGCCACGAGTGCTGTTAATTTTCCAAGAAAATTTTTGGTTACATGTTGGGGCAACTGGCCCCGTCCCGTCCCCCAGCAAAAACGTGATTGTATGCGGATGGGGGAGGTCTGTGTGTGTGTGTGCGTGTGAGCCATAAAAACAACTTGAATTTATGTTTTCACGGCAAAAAATTATCTTAAAGGGGGAGCCCGAAGATGTTTCGCAGCCGAGTGGAGTCATTGGAGGGAGTCATCTATTCCCCAAGCCATGTATGTGAGTACATTTCATTTTTGTGGCAACGACTACTTGCTAATTCTAATTAAAAGCAACAGCAGCAGAAGCAGAAGCAGGAGTTGCGGCATGTCTGAGGCACACTCAAGCAGAAAATTATCAACTCTATGGGGAGGAGTTAGGGGGATCCGTAGATGAAGATATGAGGGGGAGTTTCTGTCTAAAAACTTCTGCTTGGCTAGGCCAAAAAGATGTTGCTTGAGTTTCTTGAGTGAAATGAATAAAAAAAGTGAGCAGACCCCAAGTCACCTCGGGCCAAAATTAAATTGTGCACATTTCCGTGGAGCGGAAATTGCCCAAGTTTGTCACATGGAAGATATATATACATATATCTTAAATCTAAGATGTATACCTGAAAAAAGAAGCAAGAAACAACGTTTGCCATTTATGCGTTTCCCTTGGTTTCCCGTCGCCGCATCTGCTTCTGGTTCTGTTTCAAATTGAAATTCATGACATTCTCGTTTCAATGTAATACCTAACACTCCCTTCCTCCCCCTGCTCGCATTACACCCGCGCTTGCACACAGGTGTAAATTATGTTTATTAATTTATGGAATTTTTCGGTTTAAATGTTGCCCTCTGGACGGGTAAATGTGGAAAACAAAGCGATGCTCAAACCATAATCATTTCCATTGCATTTAAGCAGAAACCAGAAATTAGCGAAAATTATGGGAAAATCTTTTGGGTGCCTGGGAATTTGGGACATGACCTGTAGACAATTCGCTCTGATAATTAAATTAAATGCCTAATTAATTACCATTAGGGTTAGTTGGGCCCTATATCAACTGCAAACTCCGAACTGCAAATGTGCAAAATTTATTTCAAATGAACACGCCATGGCACTGCACATTTGGCATCCAAAAGTTGTATAATTTATGATTGAACGTACATAATTCAAATGACATGCTAAATTATAACAATGCCCCCCACAAGAATGATCCATATGCAAATTAATATTTGGACGTGTTTGGAATTTGTAAGCGGCATAAAGGGATAAGTAGAACAGAAGCACAAACTGATTTGGTACAGTTGTGCTGCATTGGAACAATGAAATTGAAATTAGTAAAGTTATGCTAAAGAGCATAGAAGAACATCTACATAAAGCTAATGTATCCCTACACAGGGATTTCTGCCCATATCACTGTTCATCGGAAGTACTGATTCTACTCAATACTTTCTTCTTACATGTACTAAAAACTACAGGAAGTACAGTTGTGCATCCCTGAGTATTTTCTCCCTCAAACATAACCTCACAAAAATCCACCAAGTCATGAAATTAGACTCTAAGTCAACATTTTGACTTTTCTATGAACCGGAAAACCTTTTGACTACCTAATTCCGGTTGCAGTAGTAGTATCCAGTATTACCCACCGCATCCTCTACTTCTGTGCTGCAGATCCTGTGCTTTCATGTAGCCACATCGCAATGCCGCTGCCGTCGCTGTTGCCTTCTCTAATTTACTTCACTGGCTCTTGCACTCATAACTCAATTCCTGACTTCCAACCAGACCACCTTCCCGCAGCACAGCGCTGCACTCGCAGCTATCCCGAATCTGGCGAAAACCCTTAAGCCCGACATCCAGAGATGCATTGACAAAATTTCACTTTTGGCTGAGAGATGCTGGTTGTCGTTGTCCCTGCTTCTTCTGCTGCTGTTGGGGATTGCAAATGGCAAAGCTTTAGAGACTCCATTCCCGACTGCAGTTGGTTGCATGCAGCAGCTGCAGCTGCAACATTGGGTGCAGAGGGCGCTGGAGATCTGCCCTGTCACATGCCACATTCTGGCAACTCTTTTCCTTGTCGGCATGATTTTCG